TACTCAAAGTATTAATCAGTTAACAGTATTAATACACATACTTAAAGTACAATACACCTACTCAAAGTATTAATCAGTTAACAGTATTAATACACTTACAATACAATACTTAAAGTACAATACAATACTTTATTAATAGTTAACAAAGTACAATACAATACTTTATTAATAGTTAACAAAGTACAATACAATACTTTATTAATAGTTAACAAAGTACAATACAATACTTTAGTATTAATAGTTAACAAAGTATTAATAGTTAACATAGTATTAATAGTTAACAAAGTATTAATACAATACTTAAAGTAACAAAGTGTAAGCGAAGTGTACAAATCCCGTAATTCCACGCGGCAAAAAGGTACGGGTGTCTTGCGCACCACCCCTCCCGCGGGGGTAGTGCACGGGCACAACATGTACGGAGGTTTGTTTCAGACCGCGGAAATGGCGTTAGTTGCCGAATCCCCTCCGCGATTGCAATTGGGTTGCAACTTTGACCAGCAGAGGGAGAGTTGGGATGAGGAAGAGAGTAGGGTAGGGTAGGGTGGAGCATAGTAGAGTAGGGTAGGGTAGGGTAGGTTAGGGTAGGTAGGGTAGGGTAGGTAGGGTAGAATGAGTAGAGAATGTATGGGTGTAGGTGTAGAGATAAACAGTGGTGCCGGGTGTTATCTCGTACGGCACTGAGAGCAGGATCGTGTTCGGCCCAATCATTATCAGTTTAACAATTAGAGTATAAACTGTGGAATTAAGTATATAAGCAGTTGAAAGGAAATGAAAGAAGGATAGTAGCGATTAGAGGTATGGAAATATGTTAGGATTGAAGAATGATATTAGGTTTAACTTGATAATAAATAAACATTTATTATCGGTTAAAGTGAATGTATATCAACTAGTACAATATTTACTATTGAAACCATTTGAATTATTTCCTAAAAACATCAAGAATGAAGAAATTGTTAATAAGAGGAAGGGACCCACTAATTGTGCTGCTGATGATTTAGAACTACAATTTAATAATGAGGAATTTTTGAATTCTTATTTACCGTTTAGTTTAGAAAGTGATTTGAACGACTATGAAGTGACGTTTGATCAGTTGTACGATTATTCTTTTAAACAAGAGGTGCCAATGTATTTACCACCCCCAGCACCACCGGTGGCCCCACCGGTGGTGGTGCCCGCCATGCCACCAGCACTGGTGCCGGTGCCCGCCTCCCACTTTACGCTTAATATGATTGGACTTGAAAACAACTACTTTAAAGACTTTAACCAACCAATGAACCAATCGCCGCAATCGTCGAAGTCGTCGGACTTGAGTCCCTTGGACGAGGAGTTTTTAAAACAGGGTTTTTACTTGGAATCGCAAAAACGGCCCTTTGAAGAAGAAGAAAGTCCCAAAAAACGTAAAAAATCCAATTCGGAAACTAAATTTGAATGTCATCATTGTCATGCTAATTTCAAAGTGAAATCTTACTTAACTCGTCATTTGAAAAAACACAATACTTTCAAAGCTTTTAAATGCCCCTTTTATAAAGATCCCATAGTCGATGATTCAACTAAAAAATTAATCAACCCGGGAACTAAATGTCATCCCACCGGAGGGTTTTCAAGAAGAGATACGTTCAAAACTCATTTAAAAGCCCTTCATTTCATTTATCCTCCAGGCACTAAAAGTAATAAACGCCATTTGATCGGAGGAAGATGTGCTGGTTGCTTCAAATACTTTGAATCAAATGCAAAATGGTTAGAGGATCATATCGAACCAGGGGTTTGTAATGGTGCTATTAATTAACTTGGTACGGCGGGTACGTACTTGTGATATATTGTAATATTAATGTTTATTGGCTTGTTGTAGTTTCTTTGTAGAGTAGATTGTCCTTATAGATGTCTACTTTAATCCGTTAATACCTCCAGCGAATATCAATTTACATCAGCGAATATCAATTTACGTCAGCGAGTATCAATTTACGTCAGCGAATATCAATTTATATCAGCAAATATCAATTTANATCAGCGAATATCAATTTACGTCAGCGAGTATCAATTTACGTCAGCGAATATCAATTTATATCAGCAAATATCAATTTATATCAGCGAATATCAATTTATATCAGCAACCACAATTCACTAGTCCAGTTGCATCCATAGCAATCATTTATCTAATCATCAATTAGCATCTAAGTATTAGCATCTCCATATTCATTTCACAGCATCTAAAGTCGTTGGTTGATCCATAGCTATCTACTAATTTCGTATTTAAATACCAACTAGTCTCAACTTGCTGTTCCTATCTAAATATCCATTACAATTTCACAGCATCTACAATATCAATTATCTAGGTATCAAATATCTAAATATCAATCATCTAAATATCAATCATCTAAATATCAATTATCTAAATATCAATTTCACAGCATCCACAAGTCCAGTTGTTGCATCCATAGCTAGAATATCAATTGAGTACCTAAATACCAATCAATTGACAAGCCCGTTGTTGCATCCATAGGTAAGATATCAATTTAGCATCTAAATATCAACTTCACAGCATCTACCAGTTGTTGCATCCATAGCTAAAATATCGATTTCTATATAAATATCAATCAGTAACTACAATTCACAAGTCCAGCTAGTTACATCCATAGCTAAAATATCAATCAGTATCTAAATATGATTTATCAAGTAGTATCTAAATATGATTTATCAACTAGTATCTAAATATCAATTGGCATCTAAATATCAATTTATTACCTGACCATCAATTAGTATCTACAATTCCAGCTTCACTGCTCCAATGTCCTTTCAGTTTCATTGTTCCTTTCTATCTGATACAACAGGCTGCATTGGCAGCTACAAAATCTTGCATCTACCCCAGAATCCCTCTTTTCATAGACACAAGTATTCCAATTCCATATTCCAATTCCATATCCAATTCCATATTCCAATTCCATATTCCAATTCCTGGTATTCCACCAGGTAATCCAATCCACAAGGCCAATACCAGTGAATAACGAAACAGCATGAATACTAAGATACTTAAACAATTAGCAAAAGACCCGACCCCCAGCTGCCACCCAACCTGCAAAACACGGAACCCAACCTGCAACATCGTAACCAGCAAATACCCAACCAGCAAACAAAACCCAACGCCACGCCCTTAAAAGTGAACAAATTTTCAGCGTCTAATTTTACAATCTACTAATCTACTTATCAAGTAATCTACTTATCAAGGAATCTACTTATCTACTTATCAAGGAATACTCAATAATCATGTCTGCTTCATTAGATAAATCATTGGATGATATCATTTCATCCAACAGAACACCAAAAAAGTTTGCCAAAAAACCTTTTGTTAAAAAGGGTGGTGCTACTAAAGTTGGTAAAAAAGTTGGTTCTTCCAATAAAAAACCAATTGTTTTCAAAAAGCCGGTTGTTGCTGCTAAACCAAAAGTCAGTCAACCTGCGGTTGACTTAAGTTATGCTACTAAAGTTGTTGCTCAAGGTTTACCAAGAGATATCAAACAAGATGGTATTAGGGTATGTTTTTATTTATTGCATTAGTGTCTATGCTATAGCTTGTACGCGTGCTATAGCTTGTACGCTTGCTATCCATGGATGGCTTTGCTATGTCTGCTATGTCTGTTGTTTTATGGCTACTATACGTGTGATGTCTGTTGCTTTATGGCTACTATACGTGCTATGTCTGTTGCTTTTATGGCTACTATATGTGCTATGTCTGCTACGTCTGTTTTGATTTTCTGGCACGATCCGACGTCGGTTAAGCACCTGTCTTAGGGCTGAGAGACCCCTCTGGAACTGGAATGTGACTCGCTTTGGCGATTGACACTGATTATCGTTCACAAGACTGGATTATCTGGAATGTAACTCGCTTTGGCGAACGACTCACGGACTAATCGTGATGTTAAGACTGGCATTTCTTGCTGGTCTGACCACTCCGTCTGGATCCGACTCGTACTCCGTCTGGATCCGACTCGTACTCCGTCTGGAGATTAGACTTTGTCGTGATTCAATCCGACTTTGACTCCGTATTGACTGACTCAACTGATGTCATGGTGTTCTGACACAGTATCTAATGAAGCCGGGGAGCTATTAAGTTATGCTACTCCAAATTGAGTAAAGCACTAGGCTGGTCCTAGTGAGTCATGTCATGTCATTGTCAATATAATCAAAGTCATGCGATGCGCCAAGTTAATATGATAGTCAATGTGAAGTCAATGAAGTCAAGGTGCTTCAAGTCAATATAGAGTCAATGTCAATGAGGTATACCAATGATTCTACGGAGGGAACAGTCAGGTCAAAATCGAAACCAGTAGAACCAACCAGACCTATATAGTAATGTCCCATCAGACGGTATAGTAATGTCCCATCAGACGGTATAGTAATGTCCCATCAGACGGTATAGTAAGAATACGAGTCACATGTCAACTAAACAATTTTTACATTTGTTGATCAAATAACTAACAATTCATATAGGATTTTTTCCAATCGCAAGTTGGTCCAGTTCAAACCATTTCATTAAGCTATAATGAAAAGGGACAATTCAAAGGTATTGCCACCATTATCTTTAAAAACCATAAATCCGCAGCTTTGGCTGTTGAAAAATATAACAACGCTCCAATCGATGGTGGTTCAAGTAAATTAAAATTAGAATTAATCATTGATCCTTCTAAAAAACCTTTGGCTTCCAGAATTACTGCTAACAACCCTCAACCTCAAGTTGCTAAAAATGAATTAGCTAAAGGCTTAAAGTTGAAGCAAAAATTACAACAAAAGAAAAAATTACAACAACAAGTCAAACCAAAGGCCAATAAAAAGAAACCAGTTAAAAGATCTAAAAAATCCATCGAAGAATTAGATCAAGAAATGGCTGACTACTTTGATAATTAAATTTCTTCCCAATTAATGTATTTTTATCTTCATTTGTGTATTTTGTTATCAATATAAACTTTGTTTATTGAATCTTGTATCACCCTTTGATATACCTCTACATATAATCTGAGTGACGATTACGCGATTTATTGTTCAAAAACTCGTTTAATTTCTCAATCATCAGCCGTTCCCAAACTACGAGTTTGTTAAGAACCTGAATGTGCCCACGCTTGTCCTGAAACAGCGTCCTCTCCAGTTCCCAAGGGCTTTTCCACGTCCTTTGAACTACCAACTGAAGCTGTTCTTTTGAGTTAAATCTCGAATTTTTCAATTTGAAATTGAAAAAACGAAAAAAAAAATTGAATAAAATTTTGACGGCCTGCGAGAAAAACCAGGTACGGTTTTTTCTTCAAAGATAAATAAAGCTTTAGTTAATTAGCGTTTTTTTTTTCAATTATAAGAGTTTGTTCAGTTTAAATATTCAGCAAGATGAGTTCCGAGTATCATGTTGGAGGCAACGGGCTAGTAAATGGCAAAAGCAGATATGCTAATATTGAATATATAATAACTGCTGAGTTTCATATTGATAAAGGACCATCTTTAATTCATCAATACCCCAAAGAGATTAGTGGGATATCAGAATTGGCATTTTTACCAGAGTTGATGATTCCAGATCAAATACATAAGAGAGAAGAAGATTATACGTTGTTTTTACTTTATAGAAACCAAACCACAGGAGAATTACAGTATTTATATGATAAAACTTGTGAAAAGGAACCATATTATTTGTATACAATTGTTAATAATTTGAAAGATAATAATTTTAAAAGAGGATCCATTATTAAATCATTGAGTATAATAACCAAATTATCATTTTTCAAGAATTTCAAACCATTATTATTGATCTGCTTAGATAAATATTTCAATAATAATAAGATTGAAATATTAGCAGAGTTATTTGAATCAATTAATACTAAAAATTTCGATGTTAATTCAATAACCAGTCAAGCATCAATTATTAAGAAGTTATTAATTACATCAATATTAGATTTACCGATAAATGATAAGATTTATTATGATGAAAATTTTAGAAACAAATTATTAGGAATTAAAACTAGTAATGAAGATTTATTTATTAGAAAAGATTTAAGTTTCAATTCAATTATTCAATTCAATAATATGAATATACCAATAAAGATTCCAATGATTATATTACCGGATACAATTGGAGATTATTTAAATCCAACTGATTTAAATTTTAAACCAAATTTAATCAATATTTTAAATGCAAAATTATCTTCACAAATCTTTAATAATGAATTGACTATTTATGGATTACAAACTCCACCAATAATTATATTAATAAATGCTATATTAACGGGTAAAAAAATCATTTTTTTAAGTTATGAAAGTAGTAGTGGAACAATTATCGATCATTTATTATTAACATTGAAAATTATTAGTGGAGGTGGGATATTAAGTGGACTTTTAACAAATTATAATGTGTTCCCAATGATCGATGTTTCCAAGATTGATTTATTAGAAAAATGTGATTCATTTATTGCTGGTACTATTAATCCATTTTTCAAAAATAATGATAAATTATGGGATTTATTATATGATTTAGATTCAAATGAATTTTTCATTAGTTCACAAATTAATGAGGTAAATTCAAATATGATTTTTAAAAATTCAATTATTTCAGAAGATGCAAAATTTTTATCAAATTTACAATTATCATTATTTAATTATAATGATGATTTAACTACTATACAATTAATTTTTAGAAGACATATTAACGAAATCATTAGAATATTACTCAGTTCTAAAAATTTTAATAATAATCCATTAACACAAGATCAACCTCAATTACAATTATTATTAGATGGAATTGGATATTATTGGAATAGTGATACCAATAAATTATTAGAAATATCATGCTATCAATTAATATCAAAAAAGTTTCAAGATTTATTATACGATGGTAAATTTAATTATAGTTTATCATTACCAAATTTATCAAATGAATTAAACTTAATGATTGATTTACAATATCATTTACAAAAATTAAATAATGTCAATACTAAAATTGATGAACGAGAAATTTGGTTCAACATTCTAAAATATTTAATTAGTGGTAAATCTTTAGAAATTTTCTTATTAATAACTTATCTTATCCCACCAAATTCCTCAACAAGTTTACAAAGTTCTTCCATTCACGGGGGTAATTTAACTATTTTTGATAAAAATAAAGGTATTGAATTATTGTTACTTAACCTATTTAATAGTGATGATCAAATAAAATCAAATATTATCATGATTCTACAAGAATTACAAGATAATTTCTTATGTGGTTGGTGTTTGAACAACTTTATCAAATCAAATTTAATTTACGAAATCGCTTTCGATGATTTACTTAAAAATTAAACTACCGTGTTACTATTTCTTTCTCTTAAATAAAGTTGTATTACTATTTACAGTCTTATATATTCCTTCTTTAAAATGCATAAGTATTTCTATTTTTCTCCATCATCTCTACTGAAAAGTGCAGTATATGTAAATCGGTCTCCTCCTTTACGGGTGGAATAACTGTCTCCTTTCCCAACGTATTTCAGATCCTCTGGTCTTTCTTCATAGTTGAAATTTGGCTTATTTTCAGGAAATCCTAATCTTCGAACTTTTGTTGAAAATTCATCAAATTCACTATCTATTCTAGCATCGGTCTGCAAACGGTGTTTCTCGTCATTTCTCTTCTGTATATGTTTCTTCCCAACAACATAGAACGTTATGGCCGTCACCCCGAAAAGTCCAAGCTTCTTAAGTATTCCTCTACTGGTTTCCATCTTGCAATTGAAGAAGGAGTATTAAATCAGCTTATTTTTCATCTCGTTCTCATACTTTATTTATAAAAAACCCAGACTTCCTAATCAGGAAACATATAGAAATAAATGGCTGTATTATTTCATAGACTGCCTAATACGGAAGTCAACTACAAGTCTGGCTGGTATTACTTTGTCGACTTCCTAATATGGAAGCCTATGGTAAATCGTACGAGCATACTTTCGTTTCCCCACAAAAAAGTTTTTTCTATTCCATGTGACATCGCCGATATAACCACGGTTGAAAGAAGGAGCCGATTTGTTTTCATTTCCAGCTACTTTTCTTTATAAGAGAGAATTGACGCGTTGATCAGAGTAAGCAAGACAAGCTAGTTGAAGACAGAATGGCCCAAGCAGAAGAGATCGCCCACGCAATTGCGGGAGCCGGTGGAGGAGCGTTGTCGATGGTGGTAACGTACCCATTGGTGACATTATCGACATTAGCCCAGACCACCAAGAAGAAGAAGCAGCAGGAGATTGAGGAAGTCAAAGAGGAACCGGTGGAAGTGAAGGAGATACACTTGAAGCTCATTAACGGGTTGGTTAAGTCGTCGTCATACCAAGCAGCCAAAGAGATTATTCACGAAAAGGGAATCTTTGGATTATACTCTGGATTAGAAAGTGCATTGTATGGGATTACTTTGACTAATTTTATCTATTATTACTTTTATGAATTTACTTCTAATATTTTCTTGAAGGCCAATTCTACTAGCCGGAGACCGGGCAGAGGATTGAGTACGTTTCAATCGATTATCACTGGTGCAATTGCTGGTGCTATTACTTGTGTTGGATCTAATCCATTTTGGGTCGCCAACACTCGAATGATGACTGCTAAAAAGAAGGAAGGCGAGGCCACTAGCTCGACTGTTAAAACGATTATGAATATCATTGAAACCGATGGGGTTTCAACCTTATTTGCGGGAGTTTTCCCAGCTTTAGTGCTTGTTATTAACCCAATCATTCAATATACTATATTTGAACAAATAAAGAATATCATCATTGCTTCTAATGGTAAGCATTCCTTCACTGCCATCAAGGCCTTTTTCATTGGTGCTTTTGGAAAATTGATTGCCACGGCCTTGACTTATCCTTATATCACTTTGAAATCAAGAATGCACGTCAAGAAGGAAAAATTGGCTGAGAAAACCGATGAAGAAATTAAATTATCAATGGCTCAAGAAATCAAAAAAATCATCCACGAAGAAGGCCTTGAAGGTTTATACCGTGGATTATCGGTTAAACTTGTGCAATCCATAAGTACTGCTGCCTTTTTATTTTATTTCAAAGAAGAGTTACTTACTGGTAGTGTAAAATTAGTTGAAATCTTGAAAGTCTTGAGATTGAAAAACTCGTCCCCTTAAATATATACGTTTATATAATATATATATATATATATATGATTTAGATACTATTGGTGTAGAGTTGTACTGCAAAAACCCAAAGCCCAAAAGGATTTCTGGAAAAGTTTAAAAAAAGGAGCCCGAACGAGGAAAAAAATCTGGTGAAATTGGAACACCGAAACTATTATAAGATCGGGATATAAATCTACCTTACAGAATCAGAGATTCTTGATCAGTTGAACGTTGATACTTTAATAAAATCCAAAGGAGAAAGGATTGGTGAAAGTAAGACAAAAAAATCAGTTTTCTGTCAAGACTTTCTACCGTATTTGGAGATTACAATAACCGTACCCTTTTTCAGTTTATACATGGAAAGCTATATATCGAATGTCTGAAAGTTCTCCAGTAAGTTCACAGAAGAGCAACGCTAACAGACGTCCTGTTGCGAGAAGGGCATGTTTGTCGTGTCGAGAAAAGAAGATAAAATGTGATGGAGAACCGGTGAATGTGGTGAAGACCCTTGATACTAATAATAAAATCATACCCGATAATCCAAAAGTTTGCTCAAATTGTCAATTTCTAGGGATCGAATGTGTTTTCGTAGCCAGTATGAGAGGTGGTAGAAGGAAAAAGAGATCAAGTACAGAACTAGAGAATCCAATTTCAAGAAATGCTAAAAATTTGAAGCCAAATTCAATCACCGATTATGAAAATAATTCGACCAATTCAAATTCAAATTCATCTAAATTGATCAGTCCTCGTGGCTCCAATGGTAGCTCGAGTATAAGAGATGGGTTGAATCAGTTCTTATTAGATCAACACAATAGATTTAACTCGAGCTCAAATGATTCAAAACCAATTTCTCCCACCATTTCTTATGCTTCAACTTCTTATGCTGATTTTAGACCTGCCCATCTTGCTTCTTCTGCAGAATCTTCTTCAAAACAACCTCACTCCATATATGGCTATCCCGTCTACGATTATAGGCACCATTACCCCCCAAGTGAGACCCCAAGTGATACTCCTGGTGCAGTAGCTAACTTTTATAATCATTTACCACCACCACCTCCTATGCCTTCCCATTTCCGTCATCATTGGCCTCCGCCGCCTCCTCCGCCGCATATGATGGGATACCCACCTCCACCACCACCACCACCTCACTTGATGTTCTACGGTCCTCCTCCATTTGGTCCCGGTGGTCCTCCTCCTGGTAGCAATAGCCCCGGTGATTATCCCCATCCTCGTCATTGGCCCCCTCCACCTCCTCATATACCTGGTTATGGTCCACCACCCCCTCCTCCTCATATGCTACCACCACCACCACCGGCTCCTCAACCAGGCTCGTCACTGGATAAAGAGTCTTCTATTAAAAGCGGTGATTCTAATAAAGATTGCTCATCAAGAGATCGTGAACTAGAGAGAAGGTATCCTTACTATAGCTACCCCCGCCACCCTTATCCACCAGTACCACAATCTTATTCCCGTAGTCCAAGTCTAAGAAATCATTCATCTTTAGCTAAATTTAGTCATAATCGTGAAGGTAAACCAATTTTACCACCGTTAGATCATTCAAGAGCATCAATGATACCCGGTGAATCATCACTGATCAAGGTAAAAAACCACGAAAAATTAGATGGCCCCGAGTCCACTACGTCTGCTTTAAAACATCCGACTGGATCGGATTTCAAAAGTATGGATATTGATCAACCACCTACTAAATCATCCTCCAAATCTCCAATACTGAATGCACCAAGCACATCAACAAACTCATCATCATCATGTGCCAAACCCAAGAAAACGATCGAAAACGAGTCAAGGCATAAGTCACCATTTGATCCTTTAGAATTAGAACACTATGAATTACCAACATGGGAAGTTTTAAGCCAATTACTTAATTATTACTATAAGTTCAATCATTTAGATCATAAATTTTTACCAAGTCAAGAAATATTTATCGAAAGACTATCATTACGTCAAGATAGTTCGATATTACATTCACTAATAGCCACTTTAAGCTTAAATAAATCCGACTTGATTGAATCAGATGATGATTTTTGGATAAGAAAAGCATTAAAGTATTGGGATAATTTAAGTGATTTTGGAATGTTTTTAACATTTTCATTCATGTCAAAAACTAGAAGTTATAAACGAGATTTAGATAAGTATAATGAATTGAGTTCAAGAATATATCAAATCATTCATTATAATAGATATTTAGAAGTTCTACAAGATGATGGATTACCCTTTAATCGAAGACAAATATATGAAAGGGAAGTATTAATGAGATTAATATGGTCATATTGGATAAATAATTTAATCATGTTTAGATACAAACAAGGGTATCCATATGATAAGATATCCAAAATTTTTAAAGAAGAAAAACTTGAAATTGATGCTTATAATTCTAAAATTATCCTACCAGGTAATGATGATGATTATTTTAATTTAAAGAATTTAACTCATCGATTTAGTTTACCGGACTTAATTAATAATGATAAGAAGTTTAACGATTCAACTTCATTCATTTATGCAATGAAAAAATTTGATGATTTATTGGAAGAGATAAATCGTAATGAAATACATGACAACAACCAATTTTCAAATTCCTTTAATGACTTTATTGAAAAAAATTTATTCCGATTAGAATTAATTAACAATGATTCTGAAATCTTGGTTATAAATTCATCGGTTTTAGCATCAACTTTTATGTCGAGATACTGTATTATTTTACAAAATGGGTTTCAATTAAAAAATTTATTTACTTTTAAGATTTACGAATTTAATAATGATAAAAAAACAAAATTAGAATATTTTAATGAAATATCACTGAATAATTTTACTAAAGTGACAGAATTACCTACTTTAATCAATGAATTATCAGGTGAAAGAATAAATAATTTAATCATGCTTATTAGACAGGTTTTAGAGGTTTCAAAATTATTCGAATTAGGATTAGGAAAATTTGGTAACAATACAAAAGAACGCCCAACTGTTATTGGAATTACCCAAACTAGTCATAATGATAATAGTAAGCCTTGGTGGCAAGACGAAAGCTTAATTACTTTTGGTAAAGAGATGTGGAAAAAATATCCAGAATTTTCATTAGATATTGCATGTTCATTAATTGCGATACTAGCAAGTCTTATTGTATTGACAAAGTTTTTAAAGTTAGATTTTAATAAAGATCATACCCAATTGAAACTATTAAAATCAGATAAAACCTTAAAGACTCCTTTTAAAGATAGCGACGAAGAAATAATTAACAAATTTGATGCTAATCTTTTATTCGAAACTTTCAGCAAGGTTATTAATTTCATTCAAGTTAAACTAAGAATAGATAACAACTTTGATGATATCCTAACCAATAATACCATCAATAAGATTAACAACATCAGCCATTACCTCGAAGAAATCATGTCAAGTCTTGATTAACATTTCATCATTGTAACACTACTACTTAATACATAATTTATTGCCACCTTCCTGTAAGATATTATCTACTACTTAATACATAATTTATTGCCACCTTTCTTAAGACACTATCACAAAGGGCCAAATTTATCGGATATATGAGGGAATTTCCTTTCAAGGCATGACTGATATGTCTTTTGAGCCGTATGCATTAAGACTAAAGCATCAATTGAGAATCTTCTACTCCTCTTTGTAGGTCCAGCTCAGACAGACCCTAAGCACCAGACTAAGCACCGGCCAACAGGCTCAGGTGCCAGGCCAGTCATAATGTTACTCACATGGCCAATGGAAACATCTTATCCAAAAAGGGCGATGCCTGTCAAAAGCAGATGGCTGTCAAAAGGCGAAATACGTCAATTTTACAGGTTCAAATCCTACAGAACTAAAAATAGCCTGCCAGTCCTCTGCGGTCTCTTCACAGGAGTCACTCTTTATGCTGCTAACCTCGTAAGATGATATCAGATAGGACTAGATAGCCGGAAGAACAGAACTAGCAGGCCGTGAGATAAAATTAGCAAGGACTGTGAGATTTCCTTTAAGCACTCCACGTTTGTAACGCAACAGAAAAAAGTATATAAGTAGTAGCAATTGGCCCCCTAAACTATTTGATTTAGAAGTATAGTAAGTAAGTATGATTAACGTATTCAGACCGTTATTCACTTCTCAAAGTGAGACTCAGGCACCGGTTCCAATTATAAACGAAACTGTTTATAATCAAACCACTATTCATGAAGAAAATGATTATGATGGTCATTTTGAATTTCTTGGTGGTAGATACTGCTCCAAATATTTAACTAGTGAAAGCTTGAATCGTGATGTTTCCGTTAAGCCAATTCATTCACATAATGATTATTGGAGATATGCACCATTAACTGAAGCCTTGGGAGCAGGAGCTCAGAGTATAGAAGCTGATATTTGGTACTTTCCAGAAAACTATACTTTACAAGCTACTGCGGTTGAAACTGCGGAGGAAACAGAAAGACGTAAGGAAGACCCAGAATCGAATCCTCTGAGATTGAAGTCATTTAATGACAGTTCAATCTACGTTGGTCATAATCAAATTTTCTTAGAACCAGAAAATACCTTGGATAAATTATATTTTGATAAATTATTCGAGATTTTGAGTTACTCTAATCCCGAAATGAAGTATGTTGACACAACCAAAGAAGCTCTGCCTTTATTAGAAGAAACCAAGTCGAAATTTGGTGTATTCTATAACTCACCGGAGACTCCATTATATTTATGGCTTGATTTCAAGACTGATGCTAATGAAACATACAAAGTGTTGCAAAAATCATTGCAAAGATTTATTGAGAATGATTACCTTGCTTACTATGATACCACCACCCAAACATACCATGAAGGACCAATCATTCTTACTATTACTGGGAATATTCCATGGGGGTTAATTGAACAAGAAACCAAAAGATACGTATTTGTTGATGTTCCATTAGCCGATTTTGGTAAATTAGATATTGATGAGAGAGTATTGCAAAGATATGCCCAATTAGGTAAAGTTGCTTCTGGATCAATGGAGGAGATAATTGGAACAAAAGAATTTATCAAGAATTCGAGATTAGATAAATTCAATGAGGATGCTTCAATTATGTTGGAGCAAGTTTTCGATAAAGTTCATGCTTATGGATTGAAATCCAGAATATGGGGCGATGCTGATTTCCCAAGTTACATAAAAGAGGGCCATTGGAAGAACCTTTATGAGCTTGGATCAGATTTCTTAAATACCGATGACGTTTACGATGTTGCCTATTTATAATTTTAATTCTATGTTTTTTTATAATATATATGTTCTATAATTTCTATGTTCAATAAATAAAAGGTTAAAAATTTCTCTTTAAGAAATCATAAAGGTAAAAAATCATGGCATTAGCAGGTATAGCTCTAATCAAGGTTATACCTAATCCATGATATAAACTTTTGATACCACCCGTTTGAACCAATTTCCTAGTTGTTTGTACGAAATCAGGTTTAACTTTCAGGTTTTGATTTAACATATCAAAAGTTTGAATGTTTGATTTAATGGTATCAATTGGGTGCATTGATAAATTGAAAGTGATACCGGATAATGCACCACTAGATAAAAGGTTAAAACTTTCGAAATCAGGATTAATTTGGTTTAAATATTTAACTGATACTTCATAAGTGCTGAACCAAATAGCGGTACCACCACTTTCTCTAATGATGGTTGAGCTAAGACCTTTCCATAACCCGGTTATTCCATCATTTCTCAAGACTTGTTTTATCATTGAAGAATAGTTATAAGTTTTATGATTAGTATTAAGATTGGATACTTGTAAATTACATTTAATTAATTCAACTGGAGTTAATACGAAAGATGCAAAAAACCCAGCAAACCCACCACTTAAACTTTGAATCCATAATAAATCTTTTGAACTATTGGTTAAGTTTGATAAGCAATTTGTAGATGAATTATAAGATAGGAAAAGCACTGCGCTTTCCATGAAAGCACCCATCATTGGAGCTTTTAATCCTTTATAAAACCCATCTACCAAACCTTCTTTATTCCAAGTATATTTAATGGTGGTCCAGGTTGATTCATGTTGAAAATTTGGCAGAGACTGTAATCTAACTTTGATAGTATCAAAGGGAAATTCAATAACTTTAGCAAGACTTCCAGCAATACCACCGTATGATATATCTTTTATAGCATCATTGAAAGCCATTAGCTTGGTAATTTAGCAAAGATCAAAGTAAGTGAAAAATTTCTCATTTCGATCAATTCAGTCAAAATGAGGCACTACAAATATTTCAAATTTAAAGTATATCGTTAAGATTAATACAACCCCCATAATACTATGGATTAAATAATAATTATTTATATATATTTAGTATAAAAGGGCAAGAGGTTGAAGGAAAGATGAACGTTGTTCAAAGAGTTATGGTACATTACACTTATCTTAATGGAATGAATCTGGTAGAGGCGTTACCAGCTCTACCGTGTCTAACTGGAGTATAAGAAATGGAGAATTCACCCAAGTAGTGACCAACCATTTCTGGTTTAATTTCAACAGTGTTGAAAACTTTACCATTGTAAACACCAACAACTGAACCAATCATTTCTGGAACAACAATCATGTTTCTTAAGTGAGTTTTGACAATAGCTGGTTTTTCATTTTCTGGAGCAGCTAATTTGGCAGCTCTCAATTTAGCAATGAAACCCATTGGTTTAGAACCTAAACCTCTAGAGAATCTTCTTCTAACTCTGGCACCACATAATTTGGAAAATTCTTCAGTGTCTAATTCTAATAAATCTTTCAAGTCAACACCTCTGTAAGAGAAGGTTTTGAAGACTCTCTTCTTTCTGTCAGCTACACATTGGGTTAGTATCAAGTTCTTGACTAATCAGTTCCCTTCAGTCTCCATTGATCTTTGACTTCTTCCCTGCTTTCTTCATCTCTACTTCACCTCCTCTACTTCACCTCCTCTACTTCATCCCTCAATCTATTCCATCCCAAGTCCTCGTCACTGCATTCACTGATCTTGTTTCCAGGTATACATACTAGTTTCAGCCATATTGATTAATGTGATTGTATGGAAAAGCTATAAAATTAAAAAACTAACTTCTACTAATACTGAAAAAAAATAGACTATCGCAGAGTCTGGTACAAGTTTTCCGTACAAAATTTTTTTCGTGCTCAGTCAAACCGCTGTTTACGTAAGCAGAACCACCCTGGTTTCGCAGGGCGACGCTCACGTGATGGGAGTGACTGTTTTTTTCTTTGCTGAAAAAATGTGTGTGTGTGTTTTTTTTGCTGGTCTTGTGGTGTACCGGTGTTTTGCCCTGAAAAATTTTCGAATTAGTACCGATGTTTTGGGAGGATAATGGTTAAACTTTTTTCTTTTCACTACTTCCAGTCTTTTGACCCAACTTAATTATCAAAGGATAGTCTGCAATAGCTTAAACTGATTATTCTCCCGAAAGACAAGAATGAAATACTTAGCTGCTTATTTATTATTAGTTCAAGGTGGTAACGCCTCTCCATCAGCTGCTGATATTACTTCCTTATTAGAAACCGTTGGTGTTGAAGCTGATGAATCTAGATTATCATCTTTATTAAAAGAATTAGAAGGTAAAGATGTCAGTGAATTGATTGCTGAAGGTAACACCAAATTAGCTTCTGTTCCAACTGCTGGTGCCGGTGCTGCTGCTGGTGGTGCTGCTGCCACTGAAGGTGGTGCTGAAGAAGCTGCTGAAGAAGCTAAAGAAGAAGCTAAGGAAGAATCCGATGATGATATGGGATTCGGTTTGTTTGATTAAACTGGTTTATAGAGAATCTATATATTAATTTAACGCAAATGCATTCTATTTAATCTTGTAGTTTACATTCTGTTTAGTCTTGAAGTTTGCATTCAATTTGATCTTGTAGTTTACATTCTATTTAATCTTGAAGTTTGCATTCTATTTAATCTTGTAGTTTACATTCTGTTTATTCTTGAAGTTTACATTCTATTTAATCTTGTAGTTTATTTAAAATATCGGTTAACTCATTTTCGGATAATTTATACGATAATTTTTCAACAAGCACTCTAAACCGGTTGATTTCATCATAGAGTAAATGGTCATTTGACATTATTAGATTGGGCTGTATATCTTTGGGATTAGTATAGCTTGATAGTTTGAGTTTTAAATTCTTCAAATAAGTTAATTTATCATATTTGTATAGTAGCACCTCATTTAATTCGATTAGGTGTTTCCTTATATCTTCGTAATTGGATAGTTGGGTATTGAACTCATCAACCGTCTCGTGTGGTACCTCGTTTATAATAAGATACTTCAGCTGGGGCAATTCATTAATCAATTGATTGAACAATTTCAACTTCCCCGGTAAGTTATCATCGCTTATATTCTCCGGTATTAGGATTATTTTAAGAATACTATGTATCTTGATGAAGCTTTCGTTCACCTTAACCAACTTGCTTGTTTCATTCTTCAATACCTGCTGTATTATTTGATTTATAGCCTGGGATTGGTACTTATTTCGATTGTATCTTCGAATGAGAACATTACATTTGAATATACTTTTGGATACGTTGGTTTCCTTCTGAAGAATATCTTCGATCTCAAAATCAACCGTTAGCGGAGAATTGAGTGCTTTCACCTGTTGGTCTATAAAACCTTTGGTATACTGGTACGACTTGCTCATCACCACTGGCAGTTGTAACTAGCCATCGATTGTTTACAGGGGAAGCTTGAAAAGTAAACTGGTTGCAAGGGCGTGTGGCGACGGAAAACATTGACGTATTCTATACATGCCCACCCGTACACCAACACCTCCCCCACCTTCAATTACTTTTAAGAGTATTTTTTGCAGTATATGCTGGCTCTACCGTCAAGGCGTATATCGTTCGCTTAGATAATACGTTGATCCGGTTGGGTGGTGAGCTGATTCAATTGACTGGATTGTGTCAAGTGTACAAATAATAATTCGATTGTTTTTAGGTAAATTGGGTCGATTGAGTACATAATTAGCCAATAGTCAGAGCAAATTGAATGGACAATTGATTATTCCAGGTCCTATCAGTTAACCGAACCAGATCCAACTAACACACGTACACTCAATGATTTACGTTCATTTGATAATACAGAAATCGAAAGCACCATCGGAAATGTAACCTTCGGTTATACGAACAATGCCAGAGACCAGCGTCCGGGCAGGTTGAAGCGAAGCAATACACAAGCAAAACAGAAGAAACTAGTAATCGGCTGGTTAAAGTAAACAAAAGGGACTCAATTAAGCACTGCAACATAAAGTATATATACTTGATCAACTAAACTGGTATAAGGGAAATGAATTTCAGGCAAGTTTCCCGCGTATTTTACCATTACCACCTTCTACAGATTCACAAGTCTTGACTGATTGAAATTGCAAGACCCGTTCATAAGATCCTTCTTTGTTAGTAAGGCTACTCCATGCAAGTGTCAATGGGTCAGCCACTCGACAGGATTCTCTCCCATCTACATATGAGGCCCATTACATGAATCTATCTATAAGAAGCCGATTATATATACCATTATATAAACCTATTATTCACTGATTATTTTTTCTCTTTTCCTCTTGTCTACTTGTTCTATTTTTTTGGCCCTTTTTGAACCCTTCAAAAAACTAACAAAGTTCTGGCTTTCTTACCAAACAATTACTCCCTTCTTTGTTCTTTGAGGTGTATAGTTGGTCTCGTCACTATCATCTACTGGGAAAAATAAGAAAGAACAAAAGAACAAAAGAACAAAAGAACAAAAGAACAAAAGAACAACAAAAAAAATCTGCCAAACAAACAAAAAAAAAAAAAAAAGGTGTTGGGCACCTAATAGATATATAATTAGACCCAATTGACTTTCTAAACGAAAAGTTTAAGGGATTGACCCTACGGGTAGCCATGCCTTTTGACTTGACTAACTTCGATAGTATCTTTGACCCGAATGATACCAGGTTGAAGTCCGAGTCAAACGAACCAAAGGAAAATGTTGCAACAACAACATCAAATAGGGTACCAAATGATAGTAATGGAATTACCAACGCAGAAAGCGTAGATTCGGTACTTTCAGGATCCACCTCAGCAGAATTGCATGGAGATGTAATTAATGAAACAGCATCTAATAAAACTTCATCAAATGCAAATGCAAGTCGCATTTTAAATCAATTCTCGCCTAAACTTTCACCATTCACTGAAGCTGGTTCTTCAAGTTATGATGATTACTATGTGGAAGCAACCAATTTTCAAGTTCCAATTGAAAACACCACCAATACCACCATGAAGTCAAATAAAAGAACGTTTCCTCAATGGACTTATGATACTGATAATTTATTATTAAATTTGGTTTTCAAATTTAAAGATACTATTTTCACTAGGGGTTTTGCTAATAAAACTTGGTTAGTGATTTTAGAAGAGTTCAATAAGCAATGTAATTCAAATATAATTCAAACTAGAACCATAAGTAATCGGTTCAAATTCTTGATCAGGCATTTTAGAAATCGATTTCCTAGTTTAAATCCGGTTGATCAAACCCTAATGTTTAACGATAATGAACGGTTATTGAATGAATTGAATCAGATAATTATCAGGAAAGATCATGAAAATGTTAGAAAAAGGAATAAACAAGATGTTGATTATCTTGTTTCCGATGACCAGGTCAATGAAACTATTACTTTACCATCGCAAATTGACTCCCGTATACCGATGCAACAACCAATACAACCAGTTCCAATACAACAAGTACCACCAGTACAACCAGTACAACCGATACAGCAAATACAACAGGTACAACCGGTACAGCAGATACAACCGGCGCAGCCAGTACAACCAGTACAACAACCTAATACTCAAGAATTACTTAAACATTTACTTCTTGCCCAAGAACAAACCAATCAACAAGGTGAACAACTAGTCAATTTGAGAAAAGAATTCGAATTGCTCAAATTCGAACTGGAACTGAAATTCAACCAGATCTTAAAACTATTAAAGCATTCAAATCCCGACTTCGGCCAGGACTCAGATATCTCAAAAATTAATAAGTAAATGTATTTATTGTCAATGTTGCAAAATTGTAGTATGCCATTTTTCCGCAAAGAAAAGTAAAAAAAATAAAACAGTGTCAGCAGATCAATTCCGGACACCAACTGCTTTTCTCCCTCGCAAAACAAAATGACTTGAATTCAACTTCAATCAATATATCAATAAGCACCATCATTTCAATTAAGCATGTCAATTCTATACCTCGTGGCGCTACTACTACCCTTGGTGGCTGCTAATGATGAAGTTGATGCAGCGGCCACCACGTATCCAAGTTTACCCCATAGAATCCCTTATAGAAGCTCATCAAGAGTGGCTAGAGTTCAAATATTAGTGGCTCTACTACTAGGTCTTTCAGCATTTTTGGCCTTTTCAATTTTAAGAATTAGATACCCCAAAATCTATGTTGCTAACTTCAATAATCTTAACCATAACTATCTTCATAGCTTAACTCGTCAAAATTTACCGCGTTTACCTCGTACCTTATTAGGCTGGATTCCGGTTGTATTCAAAATTAATGAAAAACAAGTATTGGACCATGCTGGTTTGGACGCAGTGGTGTTTCTAGGGTTTTTCAAAATGGTCATTAAAGTCTTAACCATTTGTGTTCTATTTGCTGTGTTCATCATTTCTCCAATTCGTTACAAATACACTGGTAGATTAGACCTACCGGATGATAGCGACGATGATGATGGTCATAACACAACGGCTATAATAAAATCCTCCTTGTTATTGGGCACAAGATTATTAAAACATCACGATAATGACTCGTATGAAACTTTTCTTTGGATGTATACCATATTCACTTATGTTTTCACGTTTATAATGGCTTATTTCTTATTCCTTCAAACAATTAAGATTATCGAAATGAGACAAACCTATCTTGGGAAACAAAGCTCAATCACCGACCGCACCATTAAATTACTGGGGATTCCTCCAATGCTCAGAAATGAAGAAGATTTGAAAAGACATATTAATAGTTTGGGTATCGGTGAAGTAGATTCTGTCTTGGTGGTTAAAGAATGGAATAGCTTGAACGATTTATTCAAACTACGTAAAAAAATCTTAAGAAGTGCCGAAGTTTATTGGGTCGAATATTTTGAAGCCAATGGTATCAAAAGTAAAAATGATATGATGACTTCTACAATTCATCCTAATGTTGGTATTCCAATTAATATTAACCGTGATGCCGGATTCTATACCGATGAAAGCGACGATTTAGAAAATCAATCCGATGGACATCAAACTTTGGGCTCTGCTCGTTCAAGAAGATCAAGCTATTTAGATCAAGTTTCTGAATATGTTCAAGCAGAAGCTGATTTACCCGATGATACTTCTGGTCATTTACCTCTACTTAATGACGAATTATCTAAACGGCCTAAAAAAAGAAAAGGTCTTTTTGGTTTATTCGGTCCTAAAATTGATGCTATTAATCATTGTACTGAACGATTAGAAATTATCGATAATGAAATTAAAAGAGCAAGACAACGCATTTACCCCCCTAGTTCGACCGCATTCATCACTATGAAATCAGTAGCCCAAGCTCAAATGATTGCCCAAGCCGTTTTAGATCCTAAAATTAATCATTTAATTACAAACTTAGCTCCTGCACCCCATGATATAATTTGGGAAAATTTATGTTTAACAAGAAGAGAACGAAATTTCAGAATCTTTTTCGTAACTTTATTCATTGGTTTGTTAAGTATCCTTTTGATTTACCCAGTCAGGTACCTTTCAAATTTTTTAAATACCAAATCAATTTCTAAAGTTTGGCCAAAATTAGGTGAGTTTTTAAAGTCAAATAAAACCGCTGAAAGTTTAGTTACTGGATTCTTACCCCCTTATGTGTTCACAATATTTAATATAATTATGCCGTATTTTTATATTTGGATTTCGAAAAGGCAAGGTTATACTTCTCATAGTGATGAAGAATTATCGTCAGTTTCTAAAAATTTTTTTTACATTTTTGTTAATTTATTTTTAGTTTTCACCTTATTTGGTACTGCTTCATTAAGTGATACAACTAAAATTCCTAATCAATTAGCAGAATCGTTAAAAGGCTTGAGTTTGTTTTATGTTGATTTAATCATCTTACAAGGTTTAGGCATATTCCCCTATAAATTAATACTTCTTGGAAATTTATTAAAATTTTCTTTTGGTAATCTCTTCTGGTGTAAAACTCCAAGGGATTACCTTAAGTTATATAAACCTCCGGTTTTTAATTTCGGTTTACAATTACCTCAACCCATTTTAATTCTTGTTGTTACAATAACTTATTCAGTTATGTCTACTAAAATATTAACTGCTGGTTTGGTTTATTTTATTGTTGGATATTTTGTTTCAAAATATCAATTATTATATGCATGTGTTCATCCACCTCACTCAACTGGCAAAGTTTGGCCGTTGGTTTTTAGACGGGTCATTTTAGGTCTTTTAATTTTTCAATTGACCATGGTTGGTGTCCTTGCTCTAGAAAAAGCTTTTGTATGTGCATCTTTCCTAGCGCCCCTACCAATTTTAACTTTGGGTTTCTTATGGAACTTTCAAAAAAATTATATTCCTTTGTCAATTTTCATTGCTCTTAGATCCATTGAGAATAACGAATTACCTTATCATGACGACGAAGAATTTGTCATCGATTCTGCTCAAAGTGTATCAACCTCAAACACCAATAGAATGAGGACGCTTGATGAAAGACGTGAATTCAATCAAAGCTATCAATATCCTCATCTTGTTGATGATTTGGATGGTCCGATGATTGCAATCGATGAGAATGAAATCTTACTTGTCAACAGCGACGGGATGACTGTTCGTAAGGATACACCATTCTTTGATGAAAGATATGAATTATGATAATAGAATTTTTCTTTTTAATTCTTTTTTTTTCCTAAAATTATTTTCAATTCTTTAATAATTCTTTTTTAAAACGTAATTCTAGCTTTGAATATACTCAATTATTCTGTCATAAAGATTCCTAAGATCGCTGAATTCCCAGAATTCATCAATTAAAATGTCTTTAAAGTGAATCGTTTTCGAAGTATAAGCTATACCCAAACCAAGAATTAGACGTGAGCAAATAAACTGAAATAATGCTGAAAGTATCACTATGGATAACGTAAAAGGATATGAGGAGGAGGCATTTATTCTCAATGCTTCAGTAGTATTCAAGAGACCTGCAACCTTTGTTAGAGTTGCAGATATTGATGTTTTATCATACGGCCAAATCAACATGATGATAGGAAACGTTTTGATTGAACTCGATATAAAAATCGTCAGCAATAGCACAAGTAAATGATAACTCAGCTGAAATGCAGAATTGATATTTTTATTAACTTTTTTATCCCAATTGAACCATTTTTTATAAAGTATGTAGACTGAGGTGCAAAATAAAAACTGATCCACGAGTTGTTTTAGTATGAAAAAACAATATTGTTGATGTACTTTTTTTTGAAGAATATATGTTAAGGCTAGAGAGTGTGCTTTATTCTTTTCTTCATAAGCCCAGATTAAGTAAACTTCAAATAAAATGGTCATTGTCATGAACCTGATGAGATTTTTGTACCGATTAAAAGATTTTGTCAAGTCTGATATCGTAGTCGAACCATCTTGAGAAAGGTTTGTATAATTGATTGATGTAATAGAATCTTTCAAAAGTTCTGATTCTGCAACGTTATAAGCCAAATGCCTATAAGCTTGAGGTTTTAACAAGAGAATATCAATGAATAAAAGAACGTTATCATATTCAATATATTTATCAGCAACTTTACCACATCTTGGACATAAAGTAAGCTTTATATAGTTACTTTTAAATTTGGAATAAAGATTTTGTAAGTCTGGATAAGTACATTCGATACAGATCATATCCCGTAAACACCTGAACTGCTAAAGTTGATACTAGCACCAGTATTTGTTTAAAGACTACGCGATCGCTTTTTTTTTTTTGTTTTTTTCAATTTCCGTTAGACATAATCACATTAAACTAAATAACCTACTATACAAATATATAAATACAGAAACAGAATGCTAGCAGAAGGCTGCTGGGGGAATTACTTCGGGGATCTTACCCAACTCAAAGTTTGGAGCATTGAAAGCTTTTGAAATTTCGGGATCGTATTCACTGAGTGAAGGATCTGTTATTTCATTTGAGTTTTCAGATGAACCCAATGATTGTGATGTATGCTTCCCAGACAGCTGGAAGGCATTATTATTTTGGCTCCCGGTACCAAAACCCGAAAAGCCGGCAGGGTTAGAGGACCCAAATGCAGATGAAGGTGGATTATTGGATTGAACAGAAGATGCACCAAATCCACTTTGTTGGGCAGGTTTTGATTGACCGAATGAGGTACTACCGAAAGGAGGAGTAGTACTGGCTTGGCCGAAGGAACTAGAACTGGCCGGTTGCGATTGACCAAACGGACTTGGTTTGGCAGACTGAGATTGGCCAAAAGGACTAGGTTTAGCGGGTTGCAGTTGCCCAAAAGGACTTGAACTGGATGCTTGAGCTTGACCAAAAGCAGAAGAGGAGTTAGCGTTGTTCTGAGAAGAGAACCCTCCAAATGCAGATTGTGGATTAGAACTAGTTGCGAATGGGTTATCTTGGGTCTTAACACCAAAGGCCAGCGAAGTATTAGTACCAGGGTTTGTGCCGAATACAGATCCCAGTGAGGTGGATGCATTTCCAAATCCAGACTGACCATTATTAGAAGAACCAAAGGGCCCACTGTTCCCAGTAGCACTATTTGCACCAAAGGGAGCAGAGTTACCAGCACTCCCAAAACTGGTATTTCCAAAGACACCTCCTGTATTCAGGGAACTAGCACCCCCAAAGCCTGTGCTACCAAAACCTCCTCCAGTATTAGCACTTCCGAAAGTTTGGCTTCCGAAAGCGCCTCCAGCACTCAGAGAATTAGGGCCAAAACCTTGACTCCCAAAACCAGCCCCAGTATTCAGGGAATTAGCCCCTCTAAAACCTGCACTCCCAAAACCCGAGCCACCGAAACCACCTCCAGTACTAGCACTTCCAAATCCTCCTCCAGTACTAGCACTTCCAAAACCACCTCCAGCATTAGCACTTCCAAAACCTTGATTTCCAAAGGCTCCACCGCTATTTGCGTTACCTGATCCAAAACCACCAGAAGACGCAAACCCAGAAGCACCAAACCCCTGCCCCGATGAATTCATTCCTGCTCCAAATCCACTGGCAGCGTTTTGATTACCAAACCCATCTGATCTTTCGTTTTTCTTTATATGCTGAAAGTTACACGAGTTACCAAACTTGCAATTGCCCCTTTGGTAATAAAGACACGGAGTATTCCTTTTCTTACCACTCATCCACTTAGCTGCTAATCTTAGATATTCTTAATCTTTGCAAAATCAGACTTGAATTCGTTTCTCTGCTTTTCGCTATGTTTTTTTTTTTTTTTTTTGGTCTTTTTTTAGCCACAAGCACACGACACTCAATTTAAAAAAAGATTGCAAAAACAGTCTTTTGGAATCGTTACAGCGAGTCTTGGAGATGCTATTCACGTAGAGACTCATAAGTTGGCCCAGCCGAGGCTTCTTTCGGTGGAAAAATGAAACGGCCCCAAAGGAGTAGTGCTTAGCATGTCTTTGAGCTAAAGTTTAACCAACATTTGTCATAAACATGACATGGGTTAGAAGCTGTAATAAGAGACGGTACATGAGGTTTAGTATTGGTGCTTCTATTATTAAAATTAAAGGTGATCTCATGATCTTACGGTACGAAGTAGCTCGACCAGCATTTTCGGAAATAAATATTATCAGTACAAGGATTCTTTTGCATGCATATGACCGGAGTAAAGACACAATCGATTAAAAGTGGGAAAATAATCTTATTTGAATTGGAGGCAACGATGGAAAAAGAAAGATACTTCGTGTACGTTGAGTTTTCGAGGCAGACAGAGGAGCATTAAGAGGGTTAGACTTGCTGATGCAACTAGCACATATGATGTAACTGCACAAAAGGAATTATGAAATTCATAATTTACGATTACCAGCATGTAATAAGCTAAGAATACGGTAAAGGAAAAATGGTATCGGCTATAGACACATGGTTTATAATAAGGTTGGCAATAGACTAAAGTTCATTATAACAATACATAGTATACACTAGAATAATATACAAGTGGAATGCAAAAGTGAAGGACTCGGGTTAACCACCAATTAACCAGAGCCAATAAAAGACATGAAAAAGAGAATGACAAAGACTAAAAAGACAGCACGGGACGCAGCAAAGCATAAATCATTAAGATTGGACCATAAAGAAAGGAAAACACAAGAATGAACAACTCCAATAACCATAAAAACAAAGAGCTAAAACAAAGACAAAGAGGAATGAGTTACCACCGAAAACAAAGGGCAGGAAGTGAGAGTAACTAAATGAGTTACAAATTTAAGTATAGTTCGTCATCATCACTTTGATAAGGATCATTTTTCAAAACATCAAAATAGTCTTGATCATACCAAGAATCTAATTTAGAAGCGAGTTCGTATTGTTGTGATTGAATTTCACGTTGTTTAATACTCAAGAACATTACATTTTCAACTAAATGCAAATCGATCAAAGGTTTTGCATCAATTTCTTTTTCTGCAGCTGCTAATAAATTTAATTTAATTTTATAACATTCTTTCTGTTCAAATTCTAAAGAACAACGGTTATTCATTGGAATAATTTCCTCATTGGAATGATCAATTGATTTGATAAATTCACTAATATTTAAAATATTAGTAGTACGATGTAATCTTCGATAATTTTTATTTTTTTTGTTTTCAAGAGTAGTTTTCGATACTAATTGATCATTTTCTTCTTCATCCTCGCTTTGTTCAACCACAGTATCTTCAAAATCTAAATCATCACTACTAAAATAATCAAATGCTTGTAAAGAAATTGCTGAATCGTCAATTAAAGCATCTGGAGATTCTGGGGTTTCAAAATGATGGAATGTTGGAGGAGTATAAGGAGAGTTTGAGTCAGCAATGGTTTCTTCATCACTTAAAATATTAATCAATGAAGGAGATTTTGGAACGTTATTAGCTATTGAACTAAGACTTAAAAAGGTAGAATCTTTTTTCATAAAAGATTCTTTTTCTGGAGGAGGAGTTATTGAAGCAATATTAGTACAAGGTGCAGAAATATTTGGTGATGTTGATAATGAAGTACCAGATTTTAAATTTGGAGCACTTGATCTTGTTTTAAGAGCTTTAAAGGGGGACAGATGTGGTTGGATTTCTTCGTGGAATGAACCAACTGATGAACTTGATTTTTTATTTTTCAAAGTATGATTTGGTGGAAGGTAGTTTTCTTTATCAAGAACTCTTGCACCTCTTTCTCTAGCCACGGTTGAGCTATAGTCATTTTTATTTTTCGAAGGCGAATGTCCATCTTGATGGTCGTGAAGCTTCAGGAGAAGACTTATTGAACTCATACTTGCAGTTATTCTATTCTTATTAGAATTATTATTATTATGTTCGGTGTTTGATACGTTATTGTTTGTACGAAGGTACGATTTCAAATCTTTCGAAGATGATTTTCTGGATTTCAAAGAATTCAAAAATCCGGAAGCCTTGGATTTCCGTTGTTCACTTAAGTTCGATATACTCTGACTTTTAAGCATCGTGAAAAACCTTTATAAAGGATTGCAAAAAAAATATGCAAATAGCACTCCTTTTATCTTTGAAACCGGGAAGCGAAAGCACGTCCCAAAACGGGTAAAATACAACTGTAATAGGCTTGCAAATCAAACTTAGTCCAGGGTCAGGTATAATAAATCCGAACTAGAGACTAAGTTGTCAGCTGGTGAAGTCTGTCTTGAATTAGACGGCAGGGGGGTTTGTCAAAAATAAAAAACAGAAAGAATTAAGGCAAATTAGATAAAACTAAGCCAAAATTAATTAAAACTAAGGGATTCGAAACAAAACACTAGCGAAAAAGATTACTTTGTAACTCCACAGGAGGGTCTCTGTTGCTAAGTGGATTATAATAACTTTGAAAATATCTTTTCAAAGAAAAAAGGGATGGATAATCCTGATTAATATATAATAATCAAGAAACGAAAGTTATCAACTCTTTGTTTTGATAACACCCCTTTCGAAGCTTAATCTACATGGATTTCAGTCAAGACTAATGCCGTAAATGTTTTGAACTCTCTCCAGTAGAAGTCTTCTCTGTTTTTGTTTATGTTTAAAGGATTGCAAAAAAAACAGTGAGTGAGACCTGTCGATTGCCCTATTGGGCCACTCAGTACACAGAAAAACGCGAAAACAAATTCGACTCAAAGACGCATTTCATCCAAAAATAGAAGGCAACAACCCCTTTATTGACCAGATCGACAAGTCGATCAATGGGATAGTTGTTCCCTCACAGTGGATAATGAATAGACAGGAGATTTAGATTCGGTTAAGATTGTCAATAATAGGAATAAGCCAGCAAAGTGGGAAAAACTAAATCCGACGCGGTCTTGAAGGAGAATATTTGTAATTAGCTAAGTCGTATGGTTTGTCATTAAATTATGGACAAAAAAAAAAAAAGAAAAAGTAATAATCTATTTACAGGGATTAGTCAATCCAGTTTTTCATGTAGTCTTCGTCATAATTACCGTTTAAATAGGTGATGTAAGATTTGACGAAATCGAGGTCCGATTGGTTAGGTTTCTGATTAGATGTAGGAATAAGCTTTGAGGTGAAGTTAGAACCGGTATACCTTTTCAATTCGATAATGGATTTTTTAACCCAGTTTTCTTTTCTTAAAGGGTTACCATTGACATCACGGCCGCTTAAGGTTTTCATAATGAAGTTGGTAATTGGTTGACGAACAATGACTTCCATATTTGAAGGTAAATAAATGATTAAAGGATCTGGAGTTTTAGCCCCAGTGGCCTTTAAATTGATATGACCCAAGTTTTTGAAAACCAAATCGATTGAACCATGGAATGGAGGTATTATGAATTTATTATAGTGTGGGATTTTCGATGGTTCAAATAAAAATTTATTTGTTAAAGAAGGATTTGACTCTAAATTGGATAAAATATCCCAGGTTTTAGCTAAATCTTTAAAAATTGTAGAATTAAAGTTTATACAATTTCTTATTTGAATCATTGTATGATCGGTTGGTGCTTTTAATAAGAATAACCCTCCAATTGTATATACCTGATCATTTCTGATGGTATCATAATGAGATTTATAAATACCCAGATTATAAACTTTGACTCCTTTATTTATATTTTTAATCAATTTGGGATCAATCAAGTCATATATTCCATGACCAAAGGTCGGGTTGTTAACAAACCCAGGAACATCATAAATGGTGAGTCGATTACTTAATTGATAAGGAATACAGCCTCGTGTGAATCCCGGCATGTATGAACTAGCAGGGCCGATATCTGATTTGATTAATTTGGTTGATTTTTTCATCAACCTATACGATTTATAAGAATTAATCGAAATATCTTGTAATTTCTGTAATTTTCTTTCTAATTTAGAATTTTTCAATTGTTTCTTTTCCATTTCCTTAGCGAAAAGTAATGATTGAATAATTGTTGATTTCCCGCTATTCACATGACCAATGAGATATGATTCATTTGGTAAGAAGTTAGTTAGTTGCTTAATATTCCAATCATTTAGTCCACTCATTACATGAATATTCTCCAGTGGGATCTTATAACTTCTATAAAGATAATCACGGTAGAAAATCAATCCATATCGATCTAATAATTGTTTGGTTGGGAATAATAAATCATTCTTGGTAATTATAAACTTGATCTGATTAGAATTTCTATACTTGAAAATCTCTTTATTAAATGACATGGGGAAATCCTGGGCATTGATTATAAACACCAAATTCCCATTGGGTGGAATCTGATTCAAGATTGCATCGATCGATTCAATCGGGTAGTCTTCTCGATTCTTAAATCCTTGATAACTCGACTGATAATTAGCATCTCGACATCTAATGCAACTTAAATTATTCATTTTATCTCGATGGTTCTCCATCTTCTCCTTTCTAACCACGTCAGAGTAGTCTATCACGTTGGTCTCATTGCTATTTGTCATCAATTTTTGGTCTTCGCTTGACAACTCCGACATATACTTGTTAAATACTAAATCTTCTTTCTTAATCTTGTTCTTCAAGCTCGGTGGCCGGTAATACCCCGGTTTGTCCTTGAACTCATGCTGTAGCTTGATCCCACACGACTTACACGTCGGGAAAAGGTTATTGAGGAGCAGCGACGATAGAATGTGGCTGTATCTTCTTTGAAGAAACGTTTTAATCATGGTTGATTTGCAATCAATTGGAGTAACCTAATTAATTTTTTTTTTTTCTAAAAAAATAGATAGCGATGCCCCTGGTGTACGGGTGTAAACATCCGGGGGGGGGGGAGTGAAACAAAAGCAAATGTACGGAGGTTTCTCTTCGTTTCTCGCTTCTTCAGTTGTTCCCTTTTCGCACAAACAACCTTCTGCTCGCTGTGAAGATTACCGATGAATTAATACCGGTGAATGCAACATTCTATTTCATTGTGATGTATGATGAAGTACATTTAGAGTATGCTGTTATATACACCCCTCAACTGCTCGTTTCAGGAATGTAGTATAGTAGTAACATGAAACTTTGATTAGCAATGATACAATATGTCAGGGGACTAGATATTTCCCAATGAAGATAGCAATTCCTTTGTATTGAACCACCCACCCACCCACTCACTCACCACCAAGAGCATATATCCACCTTTAATTTCAACAACAACCCCGGCAATTCCCAGCATCACCCGTAAGCTTATTTAGAGCTGTTTCAAACCTCCTTGTCTTGGAAGCTCAATTCTGTTCGACTATTTTCATCCTTTTCGACAATTTGAAGGTGTTTTTCTTTTACAAGTGCACTTTGCAGTTGTGGATGACTTGTCTTTTGAGTTTATTTTGTTATTTTTGTTATTTTTATTTTATGTGTTTTTTTTTTTTTTTATTTTTATTTTTTTTTTTGTTATTTCCTTTTATTATAGTTTTGTGGTTCATGACACAAGCCTGCACTTAGTTTATTGTTCGGGCTGTTTTCACCTACAATTCCTATTTAGCAGCATGCATGTGCATGTGCATGCACACGGTCTAAACCATCAGCAGCGCGCAAGTTATGCATGGAAACGTTTTCCCAGCGCGGCCGGCCCCCAAATCGGGAGAGGGGGTGAAGATCGGATTTCCTGTCCGCACCCCTGGTCTACCCTCTGGCAGCCGCAGTAGCGGTATACCAGCTGGATGCGGCGCATCGCCGGGAGAAGTCAAAGAATGGCAAACCAGACTGCGCGCCCAAGCGTGGGCATGCTGCCCTGGCAGTATCGCAGGATAGGGGAGTAGACCAGTGGTGAACGGATGGGGTGGTGGTGAGTCGGCGGCGAGCAGAACAGTGCATATGCAATGTATTGTGTGCATTGTCGGGCTATTGTTGACACCAAGCTGCATAGCACACATATTACACGATGCATCAGTCCATTACGCACACATTCCTTTCCTATTGTTTCTGCATGGATATTTTCCCAATTGTAATTCTTTTTTTTTCTGTTAAATTTAAAAATTTTAAAATTTTTTACTGATTGTTTCTTGTTTGCCTTTTCAAAATGTTGGTGAATTTCGTTTTCCTTTGTAGATCTTGCTACTTTTCTTTCTTTTAAAAGGAAAATACCTAAAAAAAAAAAAAAAAGAACTTAAAAAAAATTTACCACCCAACCTAAAAAAAGAAGAAGGAAAAAAAAATTTTCTATTACTTCTTTTCCTCTTTGCTCTTTAATAAGCTTCAAGTAATCATGCCAAAGAGACTTTCAGCATCCAGTTCGTCATCACCGGTACCAAAGAAAAGACATTTCGAAAGTGATTATGAATCAACCGTTACTCAAACGTGGATTACTTTAGGAAATTGTGCTACTAGTCTTGGACTAGTTGTTCATGCCATTAAATCATTTGAAAATGCATTTAATCATGATTCTTCTAATATTGAAGCATTATGTGGATTAAGTAGTTCATTAAGATTAAATGATATTAATATGAATGAAACAATTGGATCTCAAAATTCAATTGATCGTTTAAATAAATCATTAGATATTCATCCAAATTTATCAAAATCTTTTAAGATTTTTAAAGAATTAGCTGAGTGTTATTTATTAATTGGTTTGAATGATCAGGCCCATCAATCAATTCAAACTGCCATTCAATTATGTCCTTCTGATCTGTCTCTTTGGTTATTAAGTGCTCAAACTTTAATTCGTGCTGGTGCTAGATCTCATGCTGCTGGTGCTTTAACTAGATGTTTATCAATTTTACCCGATTCTTTGTCAGTTTTCACCAAAGATGATATTGAAACTGCTAGGGCTGCTCATGCTGAATTAGCCGCTATTGCTGCTGCTGATGGTAATATTGAATTATCAATTGCTGAATTAACCGCTACTTTATCTTTACCCCCTCCTCCTTTATCAAGAATTGATGAACACATTGCTTTATGGTGTGCCTTGGCTACTGCTAAGGAAAGAGCCAATGATATTCCGGGTGCTTTACAAGCTTGTGAAGGTGCTGAAAAGGCAATTGGCTCTTCTCCAAGAATTTTATTAACTCATGCTTATCTTTTATTAATTGATAATGATGTTAAAAATGCAGAATTTTCAATCAACGTCTTGAATAAAATTATTGAATTAGAACAAACTCAAAAAAATGGTGAACCTCTTAATGATGGTGACTTCTTACCTTGGTATTTATTGGGTAAAGCTTACGCTTTATTAAATAGCCCTAGAGCTGCTTATGAATCTTATCAAGTCGCTTTAAGAAGAGCTTCAAATTCTCCAATTACTTGGTTAGCTGTTGGTAAATTATATCTTGAATTAAAACAATTACCGGACGCTTTAGCCGCTTATTCTCAGGCTTTAAGATTACAAATTGATGAAAATTCCCCTGGTACTGCAACCGCATGGGATGGTTTGAGTTGTGTTTATGAACGCTGTGATGATCAATTAATGGATGCTTCCGATGCTTGTGAAAGATCAGCTGCTTGCTTCAGAGCTATTGGTGATATCAAAAACGCCACTTTTTTCGAAGAAAGAGCCAAACAATTATCTCTTAGTTCCAAAAAGGAAGCTCCAGTTCCAGGTTTAAGAGATCCTCCCGATGTTCCAAGTTTCCTCTTGAGAGATTTAGTTGCTGTATTACCTTCAGAAAGAATATCTTTTGTTCAAGGTCCTCAAGAACATCAACAACAACAAGCAGCTCCTCAACAACAAGCAACTCAACAACCCCAACAACAAGCTACTCAACAACCTGCGCAGCCAGCGCAAGCACCTCATCCTCATCAACCTCAACCACTCCCACCTCAATATTCACAACAAGCAACACCATTAGCTCAACATCAAAGCCCAAATCCTCAGCATCAATTGAATACTCCCCAACCAACTAGTCAAACACCTCATCAAAGAACACCTCAACAACTTTATCCTTTACCTCAACCTTATAAAGATAGTAAATCACCAAGGCAATTGACCCATTTACCTCCTCCAAATCAAGCATGGTCTCCACCAACTCAACAGCCTCCATATCAACAACCCCAATATTTATATCAACAAGGACATCCTAATGCGGCCGGACCACCAGTTCCTCCACCACCCCAACAACCATATCAACATTTACCAAATGGTATGTTACCACCACCACCAGGTCATCAACAAGTACAAGTTCCACCACAAAGATCACCTTTGAACCATCCACAAATGATGGGGGCTAATCAATATCCATTAGGACCTCCAGGACCTCCACCACCAGGTTACGCTTACGGTCAATACTTACCAATACAAGGTGGAGTAGTTACGCATCTTCCATACGCAACTCCTCCAGTTAATAATTGGAGACGATAATCTTCACTACAGGCATTTCATAAAAAAATTTAATTGAACAACTTTTTTGAATAATACAGATAAATCAAGCACGAATATTCATTATTTATTATAATTCATAGAATGAATCAACTTTCATCCATTTTTTTTCTATCAAACTTCATTGAATGAAGTATTCTGTTTAGCTAAATACATACACAATTTATCAGATTTTTTGAGCTAGTAGATTCCAACTAGCGATATGTAAATTATCATTTTTGATATTTAATTTTTGTAAAAGGTTCAATATCGAACCACCTTCGATGATAATACCGTATTTAACCTCGAGCAAAGCTAATAAATCAGTCGAGCTATCACCTATATACATGATTTGATTATTGTACAAATGATTTAGTTTTTTGATGTGGTCTAATTTATCTAAACCAGTTCTTATACTTATGGTGGGATCGAAATCGCCAGTGGTTATGCCATTAACAGAAACCAAATCGTTAACCAAGATTTCGATATTATGTTCTGTAGGATTGAAACCATTTAAGGTTAAGACTGCTTCAATGAAAACTTTCAGCCAATTAATACTCAATATCTTAATCGGAATTTTCTTATCAATTGCCAAAGCTAAGAAATCGGTAAATCCAGGTTTCAACCTTACTTTATTAGCTTGTTTTCCAAAAATATCAACCGGAATATCTTTAAATAATCCCTTGGAAGTTATTTCATTAATTGATATCATTTCAATTTTTTTCAAATTAGTTTGAAATTCCCGTTCTTTCACTAAGCTATCTCTCGAACCAAAATCTTTAGTATACTCTGAATATGCTTTCATATAGGTTTGAGTGAAATGATCAAAAGTCGGTTTATACTGGGGTTTGGCCAAGTACGCCGATTCAGCTACATATTTTATCGTATCACCAACGGTTACAGTTTCATCAAAGTCAGATACGATTAGTTTCAAGTCTTTAAACTTCGTTTTGGTAATTCTTATCATTGTGAGGTTTATTAACGTTTTTGGAAGTAAGTAAAGGGTATATTGCTCTTTTATCAAAAAAGGACAAAAAAAAGCAGGGTAACACCATCACAAAATATATAAAAGGGCCTTACAATTCCTGTTTTATGATATTTTACAATAACAACTACAAAATGTCAGATCAATCATTAGGAGAATTAGGTAAAATTGCTCAAGATAAATTGAAAAATCTTGACTCCAAAGGAATTTCAGAAGACGATAAAAAAATCGCCAAAGATGCTTTGGGAAAATTAGAAAATTCCGATGATAAAAATTCATCTAACATTGCTAAAAATGTTTTGGGCAAGTTTGAAGGATCAACTGAAGATGTTAAAAAGAACTGAAAAAGGAGTTATTACAGTTTATTGTATAAATATTTATAATTGATATTGTTTGTGTTAATACAATGTAAATCAATCATGTAGTCTAAAAAAAGTGATTGTCAAGACTGACTTTACATAATTTCACAGTTATTTTCTTGAAGCTTAAGCATAATTAAGCCAGCAGGGGGTTATTAAAGATTGCAATGTAATGTAACAGGAAGCTTAAAAATAACATCTTCAAAATACTTAAAATGGGTTGTATACTCAATTGGGAAACCTCTTGAAGGAAATCCAGACATCACCGGTTAAAGCAACGTATAAAATATTTTTAATTCCTCCTACTGTCAAGTACAACAAGATAAGTTTCAAACAATGTCAGAAAATCAGGAGCCCCAACTAAAAGAGTTGGAAGAAAGTAAAGCACTCCCATCTTTACAAGAACAGCAAGACTTTATTTCATTAGTGAAGCAAATCTTGAATCCCAATGGTGAAGATCCTCGAATCGACGAATATATTACTAGCACATTCAGTTATATTCTGAATGTGTTATACAAAATGGTAACCACCGATGATAAGGAGGCCACTGCAAAAGAAATTGCCCAAGATTTGAATGACAAATTCGACAGATGGGTTGAACAAAGAACTAAGCAAGAACAAGAGAACGAACAAATTGAACAGATTGAACAAAATGAACAAAATGAACAACAGAACGAACAAAATCAACAACAGAAAGAACAAGAGAACTAAACAATGTATACAATTTCTATATCTATTATAAGTAGATTGTTTATAACAGACTCAAACCATGTATTTCAATATAGCTGGGTGTTTTGATCAATTAATCATGGATTCAATTAATTGGTTTGAAGAAAAATCTTCACACCCGCAATCTACATGATATTCCACGAAGCACCGTGTATTGTCTATACACAAGAGTAGAGAACAGGAAGAGGTGGTAAAGGAAGGAAAAGAAAAAGTAGTAGCAGAAGAAGAAGCAGAAGAAGAAGTAGTAGAAGTAATAGAAGACGATGATGAAGAAGTAGTAGAAAAGGAAAAATTATTTTTGTTAGCAATTGATGCGCACACACCTCTTCTTAAAGCTGAAAAATTTATTAGTACTTGTTTTGGAGTGGCAGAAGGGTTAGCAGGATTATACAATGTCGGTGCCAGCATGGAAGAGAATTGGGTTGAAGGTCAAGGAGGAATTACAGGAAGACCCCTTGTCGATAACAACCCATTTAGAAGATGCAAAGATCACAAATAAACAAGCCAAAAAACTTAATAAACAGAAAAGAAAGCTAGATGATTCAACTAAGAAACCAGCCAAGAGGCAAAAAGTACCCAAGAATGAGAGAGGGCCTCCACCGGAAAAAGACCAGTTAGCTTACTTGCGTCAATACCATCAGGATAAAGACAACTGGAAATTCAGTAAACAAAAGCAGAATTGGATTTTGAAAAATATAAGGCATATTCCTAAAGAGTACGAAAAGCATTTAATTATCTATATCGAAGGATTACAGGGAAATTCGAGACTGAGATTATTGGAAGACTTGAGAGGAGTCATAAATCAATGGAACGAGATTGCTCAAGCTATAGAAGAAAAAGTCGATAATGAATTGAGTGGGAAGGAAAAGGAAAATGCAGATGACAAAGAAAGTAAAGAAGCTAAAGAGGAAAAAGCCAAACCTAAAAAGAAGTCTGAAATCGAAAAGGAAAAGGAACAAGTACCCGACTACGACTATGTGATCAGATGTAAAAAGTTAATTAATGCATTAAGTGACGAAGAAGTTACATTGAAGGGTATTGAGACTAATGATCTTAAGGAAGAAAAGGCAGAGAAAGAAGACAATTTAGATAAGGAAGAAAAGGCAGACAAGGAAGACAAGAATGAAATTAGAGAAAATTTAGAAGTGGAAACTGGAAACGGAGTTGTCATCGATGAAGTCGAAGTCGGTGACTTGGCAGATGATGCTCAAATAATAGAAAAATTCGACGAAAAGGAAAAGTCTGGAAAGGTAGACTCTGAAGAACCAGAAAAGAAAAAGTCAAAGAAATCAAAGAAATCAAAAAAGTCAAAGAAGTCAAAAGATTAATAGAATAATAAACAATCTCCTCGCAGTTGAAGTGTAGTTTAAATCCCTGTAAGAATACCAAATGTTTGACTTCACCCATCTATACGGTTTTCTATAAGAGAAGCTAAAAAAGTAATCAATAGCTGTTAAGACATCTTGTGCTCTAATATGAATAGCCAAATCTCTTCTGCTTGGTTGCAAAATAATTCTCGTTCGCATAAAGAACTTGTCCTAGACAACAAGCTTCACTCACATTCAGTTTGAATCTTTAAACGGTTGGTTCTACCTGTTAAAAGATATCAATATGTCAATAGCAATGAATAATGCACAACGTTCTCCTCGCCAGGAAGTGTTACCTAATTATACTGAAATTCACACCTGCTCAAGTATAATAAACCCGATCCTGTTCGTTGCAAACACCAATTACTTTTACAACCATTCAAAGATCTAAAAAGAGCGTCTACATCCTAATATATTCTCGTAACTTGATCCACTTCTGTCCTGTCAAGCAGTTGAAGTATAAACTAGTACCTGGTCCGTATAGACAAGCACCCATACACCAAGAGTCATATGATTAATCACGTGAACAAATTTCCAAATTTTTTTCAAATTTTGTTACGCGGAATAACTTTTAAAGACATACGACTTTACATTTGAAGAATAGATCAATTGTATTACAGCAGAATAAAATGAATATTAATCTAACAGTATTGAAGGATAAGGCGTACGACGTTGATCCAGATTTAAGATTTATGGCATTGGATGATTTCCAGAAGTATTTAAATGACGATAAAGTTACCAAAAATTTGAGGCATATTGAAGGTTTTATACCAATTCTATTTAAGTTATTATCAGACGATGCTAGTGAAGTTCAGAATCAAGCAATTAAATCTTTTGTTCCGATGATGCCATACATAAATAATGAAGAGCTTTTGAAGATTATCGAAAGATTGTATGAAGAAGTTCATAAGATTAATTTGAAAGAGAATAATAAAAGTGATAAGAAATTTACAACATCCATACCAAATATGGTTTTGAGACTAATATTTAATAACTCAAACTATAAGTTCAGCGAACAGCTTTCAAGAAAAGTGATTGACTTATTAGTACCAAAGATATTCAGCAATACAATCGACATTGATTCTATCGAAATACTAATTGACTTGTTCAAAAACTTGGGTGATTATTTGAAAGATGATGAGATCTTAGATTTATCAATTAATTTGATTAATTTGACTTTCAGTACTAGTGGGATTAGTAGTAAGAGGTCTATTATTGCATTTGATTACTTATTAAATCAATTAAATCGAATCGAGAATGATTATTTACAATCCGAGTACCTCGATAAGATAGTTGATGAAATTAATTTTAATTTCAATAAAACTGATCAATCAAATAATGACATTACTCAGAGGTTTATTATTTTTCAAATTTTCTTGAATAACTTGAAGAAAAATAAGGCAAAGAATTTATCAATTATAAAATTTAATGAAATTTACGAAATCTTGATTTACTATTTAAAATTGGATGATATTAATAAGTTTGAAAATGATATTGAAGATATAGATTTGGATTTGATCAATTCTACTAATTCAATTAGAGAAGATTCTTTGATCACATTGAATGATTTAGTGAACTCAATTAATTTTGATTTATTAAATTCGAAACTCGATTCAATTTTATCAATAATTAAAATTATCATTAATTATGATCCTTTCAAGAATGATGATGAAGATTTTGAAGATTTTGATGAAGATATTGAATTCAGTGATGACGATGATGAAATCAATTATAATAATTCGAATGATGAAAATGATGGGAATTCATCAAAGTTAAGAATTCAATCAATTCAATTGATTAAAAATTTCGTTGTAAATTATCCTCAAGAAACGTTATCAATTGTATATAATGAATTGATTGAAGTATTAATTAATCTGTTGAACGACAAATCAATTGAAGTATCAAATGAGTCAATTAAGACTATTATTATTATCATTAATTCAACTACTAAACCAACTAAAAGACAAAGAAGTGGATCCGATGTTAGTATGACTACTAACGAAAGTCCAATTTATCAATTGGTTTATAAATGGACACCAATTTTACAAGATAATATTTTGAATAAATTAATGATTTATGATAATTTAGCAAGGTTCCCAATTTTTATTCAATTATTAGAAAGCTTGATTGGGAATACTGGAGAGAATTTGAATCAAGAATTCTTCAATAAGGTTTATTTGAAATTAATAGAATTTAAAATTACAAGTAATACTAATAATGAAATTCTAAATTTATATAAAATTCTATTGAAAAACATTGAAATTAATTTAATTCCAATTGAATTCATTGAAAAAATTTTGAAAGATTTATCAATTTCAATCAATGATCAATCCACTTATCACAATTTCATAATAGAAGGATTAAATCTTGTTATTTTAATTACTGACAAAATTAATAATGAACAAATCAGTCAATTAACATTATTAATAAATGATGAAATAATTCCATCTATAATGAATAAAGTTCATGATAAGCAATATTCAAGTGATTTAAGACAAAAATCGATCAGTTCATTGAGTAAAATTATCTCAAAGATTGAATTAAATCCTAATAATAAAGATAAGATGATTGAAATCTTCAAAGAAAGTTTAAATTATGAAATCACTGTTAATTATACGATCGAAAATTTGATTAAGATCAATAACATTGATAATTTCTTCGATCAGGACTTTATTGATTATATTATCACTAAATTAATCAATTTTATCAATTCTAGTGATTCCTCATTATACCTTAACTCATTAATTTTATTTGATTTATTGATATGTAAGAGCAATGTTCAAATTGATGAAAGAATTGTTGAAAATTTAATCAACATAATCGAAAATCTGAATGATTTTAAAATTATTAACTTATCAATTAGTATATTATCAAATTTGGAAATACAACCAATTTTCTACGGGAAATTTTTCCAAAAAATCAATAAATTTGATGATTTTGAAGAGATTAACTTAAGAAACTTCGAAAGATTGATAAAAAATTTGACTAAAGATTCTAAGATCTATGAAATTGCCATTGAAAACTTAAATATCAGGAACTTTATCAGTGCTAAGATTATCAGTATAATAATTATTGAATTAGGAATGACATCAATCGTGAATCAAGTTTGTGAAAATATTCAACAATATTTGAAGGAGAAAACATATAAAGAACGAGAAGAACTAATTTTTAATATTCAATTGATTGGGTATATTAGTAATCATATTAATATTAATATTGAATTAGAAGATTTATATGAAATATTACAAGAATCTAGCAATGATGAATTAATTCAATTAGCAACATCAAGATCTATTGGGATATATATATTAAAAGATTTAACGAAATATTTACCTAATTTATTAGAGAAATATTCTGAAATTACTAATAGCAGTACTAACAATAAGTTATTATTAATTTCATTAAAACAAGTCTTAAAGATTGAAATAAACTTTGAAAATCAAATGATGTTATGGGATAATTTAATTAAGATAATCGATGGGAAACAAGAAAGTGACACCGAAATTGATTATAATGAATTGAAATTATTAGGAGATATATTGAGTCAAATTATTTATCAAAATGATAATTTTTATAATAAATTTTTGAATAAATTAGAGCCGGAGGAAGAAGTTAATCAATATGAATTATACATCAATATTGTTATTATTAAACAATTAGTTGGATTTAATTATCCAATTAAAGAAGATTTAATCATTAAATCATTAATTAATTACAATAGAATTGAAAAAATTGAAATTAAACAAGCCATAATAAGTACTTTGTTAACTGGTATACATAATAAGATTGATATTTTCATTGAACATGTTAATAATGATATTTTACCAATGATTTTTGAAGAATTAGATGCAAAAGATTATTTCAAAAAGACAATTCCAATGGGTCCATATAAATATATCATCGATGAAGGATTAGAAATCCGGAAATTAAGTTATGAATTATTAAATACCATTATTAATTTAAATTTAAGTATTGATATTGGTAAAATATTTGATAATATTGTTAATAAAGGATTAAATGATTTGGAAAATGATATCATTATCTTATCAAGTCTCAATTTAATTAATTTAATTAATAAATTTACAATTACTACATTTGATTTAACTGAATTAATTGAAAAATTAACCAAACAAATTAATAAAAAAATTAGGGCAAAGGCAAGTACTCAAGAATTAGAAAGTTACGAAGAAAGTATTAAATCAATAATTAAATTACTGAAGGTGTTAAATAATAAAATCTCAAATAATTTAACCTGGGTTAATTATTATAACGATATGAAAACAAAACACTATACTTTATATAATTCGGTCTAACTTAATATCATATGAAAGTGGAATTTTCGGACTGGCCCTTGCTCTTCTCCGAAAAACCTTGCTTGTTTATGTCTCATGTCATTTTCTTCCCCACCCTACCATGCTCTTTCACCGGCTCATCTCTCCATGCCTTTATATACCACCTGCTTCCCATACCACAACGGTATTCTAAGCAGTATAATTAGTTCAAATAAAAAATATAACGTCTGTACACCACAAACCCGTACATTCACAATACATTAATCCAGAATTGAATAACTTCACAAAACATCCATACCGCAAACCGTTCTAGAACCCCACGTTGTGTGCAGGTCCGATTCCGCTCTTTTGCTGCGTCTGCTGTCAACCCGTGCACCCCCCCTGGTGCCCAAACGGTTATTCAAAAAAACCAAGCACAAAGCCTTAATAGAACGCATTTATTGAGTTGCAACAATTTTCGCTTTCTCTTTATTCAATTTTTCTTTTTTTTTTTTTACTTTTGTTAGTCTGACATTTGGAATTGGTATAAATACATCGACAGTTCCTCGTTTGAAGATAAAGTTTTCAAAGTTTAAGGAGGTCAAACCATGTCTAGCAGTTCCTCGCCAGTGACAGGAAGCGTTATGCCTTCCTACTTGAGTGCTTTCACTTTGATGGTTAGCGAATATATGATTCATATGTTTGATACTTTAATCTACTACGTTATGAATGGAGTGATAATCATTTTATCAATGATGGAGATCTGTTTAGAAGTATCAAATAAGGTGGTATATAGCTACGACCTATGGTTACAGTTTTTCAAACATGAAATGTACAAGAATATCAATTGATAAGTGCTGGACTACTTTTTCAAACCCATTTCACTTCTTGAATAATTTTAATTTGTATTTAATTTTAAAAGTTGATCGTCTAGGAATTCTCCCATCTTACCATCACACTAAACCTCTAAGCTTCTCTTTTACTTTCTCTAAATATTGGGATTGTCCTGGATTTCTTTATTTTTTTTTTCCTTTTTATTTTTGTTGTTGTAAAGACCTACTTTACAACAATGAATTGTTTAGCAGTAGTAGGTTTCGTGTCTTCAATTGAGCGCTTATCTACTAAAGTTACATAATTAATAAATATACATAACTTCACATTAACATTATGTAATTCTAGCCTTTGCTACCCCTTGTCAAATTCGCTTAGCCATCTTTATCGAATGAACTAAATTTCATCTACTAGAGTCCTCCTGTTCACCGCCACTCGTCAATATGTAGGAAACGTCGTGGAGATGTCTTACCTTTATCGCGGGGGGCATGTTCGGCAGTTGTCTAGACACTGTACTCAGACACTAAAAGTTAATCTGGCTTTGATCAAAATTGAAGTAGTTGAAGTAGTTGAGGTAGTTGAGCTTGCAAAATATGTTGAAAGGTAACTTGCAAGAGCTTCCGAGCCTGCGAATAGTTAACAATGTCAGACAATACAAAGACCCTGAACAATAGCTTTCTCAATTTGTTCATTAACAAACTTAATCTGTTAATTAGCCAACCCAATCGGGCTCTACCTTCGTCGTTTTCTTTTGTACTTGTTCAATAAAACGTACTTGTACCCCTTTCATTCTCTTCTATTGGATAGAAGTCTTTGGGTGGTTCCATTATACAAACAGTTTTGTTCTCTTGTAAAATCTCAAATTTCATCATTTGATTGAGAAATCTTATTGTTGCAAAAAAACTAGTTAAGTAACGCTACACCAAATTTCTACTACACTATTGTTTCAAACGATTATACTTACGTTTCAGGGTACTTTTAAGCTCTCCACTTCCCTGCCATCTTGTAACTCAACTGAGAAAATTCCGGTCTCCATTATGAATATCCCTTGAATTTCAGATTGCTTCTTTCATATCGTAAACTATCGTTTAGATTAGTTACTATTCGAACTTTCGTGTTTATTGTCTTTCTATTTATAATCAACAAAGAATAGAAATTGAAAAAATGAATATTATAAACAATATATTCAACAAAGAGTAAACTATCGAACAAAGATTAGGGAGAAACTCAGGGTTCTACAAGCACTAAAGCCCGAACTAAACGGTCTAACTGCTCCCTTTCATCCCAGTGCTTCCAATGACACCTTTGCATCCTCTCTATCGTATTCCTCTTGTTCATTTGTTTCATCTGTTCCAGTATTGACTGGGCTGGCAAAAATCAGCGGACCCGTCACGTGCAAACCCATACACCACTTCCTCCTTACTAGATAAGCAAATTAGCAGCAAGGGCAAAAATTATGATATCGTTCAATTTACTTACTACTTCCTCCTGTTATACTCTATTCTTATAATGCACGCTCGTGATTGGTTTTTAGTATTGTTGGCTATTTTCATTCCTCCCATTCCGGTGGCCGTGAAAAGAGGGCTCTCGATTGATTTGGCTATTAACATTGCCTTATGTATCTTGGGATTCTTACCAGGATTGATTCATGCCTGTTATGTAATTTCATTGTTTCCTTATCAAGAAGGTTACACTGCTCTTGGAGATGGCGAAAACCATCACCACTATGGTGCTACATAATAGTTACTAGTGTTTCTTTTAATAAATAAATAGTATTATACATAATATGCAATTTTTTTTTCTCTTTAGGATTGATTTTGTAATTCAGATTTAACCCATCCTTCTAAACCACCTTTAACAATGATATCTTGTAAGTTAGTACCTAATTCACCAACTTTTTGTTGTAAAATTAAGTTACCTTCACTATCAACAACATAAACTTGAGCTTTAGTAACATCCCATTTTAAAAACCAACCAGTTCTAATGGTTAATTCATTTGAATCTTGATATTTTTCTCTTAATTTATTAATTAATGATGGAATTTCTAAAGTCAATAAAGCATTATTAATTGAATTTCTGAAGAAAATATTACCAAATGAACCACTAACAACTAATTTCATTCCTCTTGCTAAAATAGCAGTTGCTGCTTGTTCTCTTGAAGAACCAGTACCAAAATTATAACCAGATATAATAATATCACCAGGTTTGGTTTTTGAATAAAATTCAGAATCATAATTTTCCATACAAACTTCAGCCATTTTAGAACGAGGAATATCATCTTGATAAGTATATTTACCTGGATAAATACCATCAGTATTGATATTATCAGCGTCACACAAGATTAATTCACCTTCGATCGATTTAGGGAAATCATCCAAAACTTCAACTCCACCAGCTGATGCTTCTTCCTTAACTGGTTCAGATTCATTGGTTGGAACAGTGATGGATTTAACAATTTCGGGGTTTTTGGCGACTGATTTGCCGCCAATCTCTTCTGGTCCACCGATTTTACCCAAGACTGCAGAAGAGGCAACCACTTCAGGAGAGGCCAAATATGCCAAAGCATCTTTTGAACCCATTCTACCTTTGAAATTACGGTTAGTGGCACTAATACCAACTTCACCATCTTTTAATAAACCAGTACCCAAACCAATACATGGACCACAACCAGCAGGTAATGGAATGGCACCGGCGTCGATGATATCTTGCCAAGCACCAATTGCTTCAGCGTCTTTTTGAACATTGGAAGAAGCAGCTGCCACGTAAAATTCAACATCAGGATGAACTTTATTATTTTTGATAATATCAGCAGCAGCTTTAATATCACTCAATCTTGAGTTAGTACAAGAAACCAAGTAAGCTTTATTAATTTTAATGTTTTGATTTGATAAGTCGTATAATGAATTTGAAATTTTAACGGAATTAGGACCAGAAATATATGGTGATAACGAAGATAAATCAACCACCAAATGTTTTGCGTAAACAGAATCCGAGTCGCTGACTAATTTATTTTCGATTAATCTCGATACGCTTTCTTCATTGACTCTTGGATGAGGTTGAGGCAATTTGGTTATGCGATCTTTATAAAAATTGATTAATACATCGTCAACGGGGAATAACCCAGATAAGGCCCCCCATTCAGTAGTCATATTCGCAATGGTTAATCTGTAATCAATAGATAACTTAGATAATCCTTCACCAGTGAATTCAATTGCATGATTTAAAACTTCATCATTATTGAAAATACCACATAAAGCAACAATGATATCTTTACCAGTAACCCCCGGCTGCAATTCTCCCACCAACTCAACTTTGGCAACCGGTGGGATTTGCCACCAGGTTTGTCCAGTGGCCCAAATTGAAGCAGCATCGGTTCTCACAATGGGAGTCCCCAAAGCACCAACACCCCCATAAGTATTGGAATGAGAATCTGACGCAACAGTCAAGTTGAGCGGGAAGGCATACCCTTCCTCGATCATGATCTGGTGGCCGATCCCTCTTCCAGCCGGGTAGAAGTCAATCCCTTGTTCTTTTGCATAATTTTCAATATTAGTATATTTTTTCAAATTCGATTCGGATTTATTTTGCACGTCATGGTCCAATGTACACACAATTTGACGGTTGTCCTTAACCTTGGTGGCACCTAGCCCCATGAACTTGGTGGCAACAGGCCACGAGTTATCGTGAGACATACAGTGGGCCGGTTTAATAGTAACATAGTCTCCACTGAAAACTTGCTTACCGGGTGCTAATCCAACCGCATACTTCTGAACAATCTTCTCGGTCAAGTTCTGGCCTCTTAGAAGCTTGCTCGATGTCGAAAAGAAACGAATACCTGCCATACTTAATCGCTATCAACAACGCTTTGTCAGTATGTTCTATGTCCAAGTAATCACTAATCGATTTTGAAATCGCTCAACTGAAAAATTTAATCTGGAGAAGGTTTTTCTTTTT